CTCTTATTTCTTGTTATTTTCGGCCTGGTCCCTTTTTGCCCTCGCTCTTTTTATTTCATTTTCACTTTTTCCGCCGTTTTATACATTCCAAATTTTTGTTCCAAAATTTCTAAATTTTGGCGCCAAATATTTGGGAGCGAACGGCTCATTTTATACGTGCACCAGCTGGTCTTCCAAATTTCCCAATTTCATCTCGCCGCTTGTCCGGTGCCAACAAGCAACAAGCACGACCCACACACACACACACACCGCCTTCGCCGTTAACACCTCCACAACCAAGACACCATGGCAGACAGCATAAAGGGACGGGCTCCTGGTCGCCGGGTGGCTGCTACCCCAGCCAGATACAGAGAGCAGGGCCATCTCGGCGCTGCTGCCGGCGAAGGTTCGAGCGGGCGCGGAATGCTCCCAGGCATCTCTGGCGCATCGTCGGCGCTACACACCCCGCAGAGGCGACAGGTGGCGACAGCACGGCGCTGGAAATGGTCGGTTTTCTGGAAAAATATATTGCGAAGATTAGAACCGAGATGGCTGAATGGGGCAAGAGTCCCCTTTGAGGGACAGCTCGCGGTCCCTCTCCGACTCCACATGTGCAAGACCGATCGATTGTGTTTTAGCGCCGGTTGGTGTAATATCTTTCGTGTGTGGGCGGGGGAGGGAAGGGGCAGATCGCTTTCACTTGCCGTACCGTTTTTCTTTTGTCGGGTGTGTGTTTGACGAGTGCGCCACGTGTAGAATACGCATGGAGAACGCGTAGCGCACGCTTGATGTTCGATGTTTTTTTTAGCCACGTACAGCAGTACCACTTATCTTTTGTTATGGCGTTTTTTTTAGAGATGACTAGGGGGGGGCAACAGGCAGAGAGAACGTGTGGCGCATGACCAAAGTTTGTACAGCAGTACCACTTGTCATTTTTATGGTGGCGTTTTTTTACAGATGACTAGAGGGGGGCAACAGGCAGAGAGAACGTGTGGCGTATGACCAAAGTTTGTACAGCAGTACCACTTGCCACATGGTGGCGTTTTTATACAGATGACTAGGGGGGGGCAACAGGCGGAGAGAACGTGTGGCGTATGACCAAAGTTTGTACAGCAGTACCACTTGTCATTTTTTATGGTGGCGTTTCTTTCCAGATGACAAGGGGGGGGCAACAGGCAGAGAGAACATGTGGCGCACGACCAAACAAAGTTCATTTTTTTTAGCCACGTACAGCAGTACCACATTTTTTTTTGGTCGGTGTGTTTTTCACCAACCAACGTCTGCATTCGTAGATGCTTCGGAAACAACGTCTCCTCACGACGCGAACGTAGTCAAATACAACGTAAAAAACGTTTTGAACGCGAATCCATTCTCGATATGGTTATCCCGGGCTGTGGGAGCTGACCGTCTACTACGCCATGATGCCGTTCAGGCAATACTGCCTCTCTAGAGACAACATCGTGAGGTCAGAAAAAAAAAAACTCTTTTACCATCTCGCCTTACGCAACTATGACATGACCAAATTCCCCGACACAGGGGGGAGGGTGCTCACCCTTACCCTACACGCCCAACGTTGTAAAATAAATGCGTTTGGAAACCTACAATCTCCTTCGACCTCTCTGCAACATTCGAATTTTCTCGCGCAAGAGATGCACAACGCAGGAATGACACCCAAACAAACGACGTCATGAAAAGCGACAACACTTACCGAAACAAAACGAAACAAGACGAAGTCTTACCGGACACCACTCAGGCATTACCCCGGTTGATGATGTTTGTAACGCATAAAACACGACTTCCGCAAAATTGTCTCCACGTCCTCGTAGAGGCGCATATGGATTTGGCGCCCGACCCTCTCCCCCCTTAACAAAAAATTTTCTCACCCGCCCGTGCGCCTTCCCTTCCCTTTCACCCCCCCCACGCCCTACCCCACCAAAGGCGTTGCATTCCCGACCACCATTGTCCACATCCCCCGCCCCGGCCACGGCCCACGCTCCTCAGAGGCCACCACCGCCACATTTGCCTCGTCTCGTCCATCACCCACGTAGTACGTCCTCGGGACCCACCCACCCTCCACCGCAGCCCGCCCGCGTTCGACCCCTTACGTCTTCCTCGCTGCGTTGCGCACCAAGTTGTGCTTTGGGCGGTACTGGCGCTTGTTGTCCAGCATCATCGTGATCCCCTTGCGCGTGGAGACTTCGCCTGACCTGGTCGGTTTCTGCGCGTCCTTGGTGGTCTTGGTGGTCGTGCTTAAAGTTCCTGGCAGAGTCTTGTCGCCGAGTAGGTGGGGGCGTACCTGGACCACCTCGGCGTCTTCTTCCGACCGGTGGATTGGTGTGACTTCTCGTCCCGGAGAAAGTTGTGGAGGCCAAAGAGCGCCGTGATGAGGTCGGAGCGCCCAGCGAACTGAACACGCAACGGCTTCCACAGGATGCCCCACTGGCCGACGAGAATGCCGAACGCTTGCTCGATCCTGACTCTGAGTTGGCTCAGATAGAAGTTGAACGCATCTTTGTCCAGCGGTAGTCCCCTCCCTGGGTACGGAGTNCCAGCGGCAGTCCCCTCCCTGGGTACGGAGTCAACAGGTGGTCGCTTAGGGGGTAAGCCGCGTCTCCGAGCTTGTAGAAGCCTGTCGGCAGGTTTTTTACCGCTGTGGATAGATCCAAATGGTTCCATGCCGTCCAGTCATTGGTCGAGCCGGGTGCAATGCAAGACATGTTGCAAAACCGGTAGTTGGCATCGCATGTCGCCTGTACGTTCATCCCGTAGCCGCACTTACTTGCTCCCAGAATAGTACGAGAGAAACAACAACGCAGTAGTATTTTAAAAGCTTACGAACGCATGTAGGATACCATGAGGATTGTCATTGGTTTTATTTCAAATTGAAGAGGAGATATTTTTACGATGTAAGTGACAGTAGAATTAAGTCCTACATTTGTTGTTGTTCTTCGTATTGGTTAAGTATTTATTTATTTATTTTTGCCTTCCGACAATTGCAGATGTACCTCAGAAAACTTTCACTTAATGTCTCATACTCTACATGAATATTAAACCAATAAGAAGTACAACAACATGTAGGACTTATTTCTACTGTCATTTACATCGTACAAGTATCTCCTCTTCAACTTACCAATGACAATCCTGATGGTATCCTATATGCGTTCGTAAGCTTGCTAAAATACTACTGCGTTGATGTCCGCTTGTAAAAGCTGAAATCCAACAAATGCTTTGATCCATGCTACATCTCCGTGTTGGAAAAGCCCTTTCATCTCCGTTCATGATAACATCTTACCCTATTCTACGCAAATCTGTCACATCT